ATATATATATCCTACTTTAACTTACTTATCATTTTTATAATTCTTACTTTAGTATATAAATAAACAAGCAAATATTATATTAAAAAGATATTTAATTCTTAACTTAAAATTTATCTAATTTTATAAATTGGTCAAGTTGCTTAACATTTATAAAATGCTCAAAATTTTATATAACATCTATTATAAGTTAAAACAATTAATATAATTAAGTTGATCGTAAAGTCCAGATAGAAATATAAGTATATGGTTTTTTCCAAAACTACATGATGATGACTACATGATAGTGAACAAATATTTTTACTTTCCTATTTTAATATTCTAAGCACATTCTATTAATTTTAGCATTATAACTTGTGTAATAAACTAAATTTACTCGTAAAACTACTTTTAAAAGCTTCTGTGACGGTTTGATAATTCTTTACTATAATTTAATAATTGATTTTCTAACTTATTTTGCAGTGCATTCAATAATAGCTAAATAAGCCTGTTCTCAAGCTGAATGTAATATTTGTCATGAAGGATTTGCAAATGAGTTTATGCCTGATTGCAAATACCCTAAGAATGTTTACATATTTTGAAACTGGGTCCTATTTATTAAATTACTCGAAAAGCTCCATATGGTGAATTATATAATTACGTTACGTAAGTCTGTAATGTCGATATTAGGAAATATGTTATTAATAGAAATCCTTTTAATAATGCATTTCTTGATCATGGATTGGGTTTACCTAATTGAAGTGCAGAATAGATGCTAAAAGCATTCATTCTAATCAAATAATATAATTTATTCTTATATCTTTAGCTAGCAATAAATCTCAAGCAAATAAATTATCTTATATCATGATTTGAGTTTGACGATACAAATAAAGATTGAATTTCTTTTTTGAAATCAAACCATACATTATTTGCTTTTTAGGCATTTTTAACTTTCAAGGTTTCAGTTGTTAAAGATCTGAACCGACACACTTTTCATAGCTTTAGTTCTCTATACAATTTAATAGTTGAAATTATGTTTTGAAATTGAATAAAACAATGAACTTTATCAATACTTTATAAGTATTCAATATCTGCTATATATTAAATCTCATTAAATTGAGCCGTCATTAATCACGGTTTCAGTTTGAAATACAAAATAAAGATTTTATTTCCTTGAGATTGAATCATACGTTTCATATTTTTATACATTCTACACTAGTCTGGTTTCTGAGAATAAAGCATAACCTATATGTTCTCGACTATAATTGAAGTTAGAAATAAAGAATAAAAGTTAAAATGCTTCATTGAATTAAAATCAAACAATGTTTATCATCTGTCATCCTTAATAATTTAATACAATTTTATTTTTTTATTACCAAACAAAGAGGATTTCTCGCAGAAAGGAAATATTATATATTCTCCTTTTGTCATATTTACTTATTAGTGTATTACAATGTAAGTGATATTAAAATTAGCTGGTTTTCATGAAACATAATTGAAGTTTTCAGCATAAATTAAATGGTATAAATAATGCCATTAAAAGGGAATGAAATATTTTTCAATCTCCTTTTATCGTCCCCCACGAAGGAAAGATTTCTCCCAATACTTGATCCAAGAATTCCCTTGTCTTTTGGATTGGGCTTAAAATTACAAGGTTACAGAGTTGAACATTGTTAGTCGTACATAATTGAAGAATTGAATTTCATAAAACATAATTGAAGTTTTAAGCATAAATTAAATGGTTTAAATAATGCCATTGAAATGGAATGAAATATTTTTTAATCTCTTTTTATCGTCCACCACGAAGGAAAGATTTCTCCCAATACTTGATCCAAGAATTCCCTTGTCTTTTGGATTGGGTTTAAAATTACAAGGTTACAGAGTTGAACATTGTTAGTCGTAAGCACAAAATTGGCTCAGCTGTTCAACGACGGTTATAAAATGAAACAAATTCGTTCCTCATCGAGCCGTGTAGGCTCAGGGGATACAGCGATCGCCTCCCACCGAGG